AATGTAATTTTCATCAGACACACAAGCTTACCATCTGTAATACAGGACATACTGCCTGGTTTAAGTAACATTTGCTGTAGAAACCCTCCATTTAATTTTAATATTTATTGTATATATTATTTTTCGTATAATTCCTGTGCAGTGTGATTGTGGTAAGGAGGCTCATTATATGTGGGACAGAGATGTATTGAAAGTAGTTGTTTGTCATAATTTTGGACCACAGTATTGGCATCACAACATCTTGTGTGTGTACTGTGTACTGTAAAATTTGTATAGTTTATTTTATTATTATTATTTTGTAATGTAACCCACTGTAATGTATTCATCACAATTTTTCACCTAGATTCATATTTACATTTTGTAAAAAAAACAAACAAAAAAAACATGTGTATTTTGTATTTTGTCTCTTGTTGCCTGTGCACCAGGGTCGAAAATAATTGGGTGCTCGGGAGGAAAACTGCCCCTGCATTACTAAAACTATTACGACTGTTGCAATTAAAGCCAAAAGTAAAATTGAATGAAAATTGTTGATTGTGCCAGTAAATTTAAAATTAAATTTTGCTCACATGATTTTCATGCTAATAGATAATACATTTTAAAGGAACAAACTTTTAAAGATACCTCATTTGGCTAGTAGGATTATTGGTATTCCTAAATTATCAGAGTGTATGTGTAGGAGGACTAACTTTAGTAAGAGTTTTGTTGCTACAGCAATACGTGCTTTAAACACACAGGAAAATAGCCATCATCTTACACTCTTGCATTTTTTTGTTCGTGAATGTATTGTGACAAGTTTGTACATAATGGGTAGTTGTCCTTGTGTTGTATAGGCTACGCACCTTCTGTGAAAATGAATTTCCTCTCTGAGGACAAATAAAATGATCTATCTATAAATGTGAAGTCCTGATTTACTAATACATAAAAAATAAAATAATAAATTAAAGGGATAGTTCACACAAAAATGAGAATTCTGTCATAAATTACTCACCCTCATGTCTTTCCAAACCCCCCAAAAACCTTCGTTCATCTTCGGAACACAAATTACGATATTTTTGATGAAAGCGAGAGCTTTCTGACCCTCCATAGTTCCTGCCACATTCAAGGCCCAGAAAGGTACCAAGAACGTTGACAAAATAGTCCATGTGACATCAGGGGTTCAACCATAGTTTTATGAAGTTATGAGAATACTTTTTGTGCACCAAAAAATAAATGAATAACCACTTAATTCAACAATTCTTCTCCTCCAAGTGACGGTGTTCCGCCATTATGGGGGGAGTATCATGATGCTTGCGCGTGCTTTCCTCTGCACGTAAACCAGACGCAGCGCATGCATGTTCTACGTCAGCAGCATCACACGCATGCATTGTTTATGTGCAGTTTAGTTGCTTTTGTTTTGCTCAATTTTTTCTTTGTTTGCAATTTTGATATTAACAAAATACCTGTGAAACTTTCGGCACTTCATCATCAAGCTTTTCTAGCGTGGAATTTGATTTACAAACACTTTTTTTATTTTTTTTTACCACACCATTACTTTATTTGGAATAATAAGGACATTTTATATAAACAAAAGTATATATTTTTTTAACTGGTTTCGAAATAACATTGTTTTGGTAGACCAATTAATTAATTCAGATTAAATTAATTCAGATTAATTATTTAATTCCGATTAAACTTTAAAAAAATAAAATTATCAGCAATTCCAACAACTCTCACCCAATCACTCCCCTATATATGTTTTTCCTATCATTGTAATAATTATTACAGATCAATAAGAGCCCCTTTCCAGAAGGATGTTGCTTCGAAACCAAATGTAATTGCATATTGGAATCAATTTGTGAGTGATGTTGGTTGGAAAAAAAATTCTGGCTTCTGTCCAATCACTATCTCTTAACAAATAAGGTCAAAGAGATATCTTTTAAACTCCTTCACAGAGTATATACCCTGCTAAACTTTATTAAACTAAATTTTAAAAAGATATAGATGTAAGATGTAGCTTTTATAAGCGGAAGCCAGAGACATTTGTTAATTTATTTTGGCACTGCCCTTATGTGTCTTTTTTTTTTTTTTGGCGGAATGTACTTGCTTTTAGTTGTTGACTAATGATGTTGATGAAAATATTACTTTACAGTGGAAAGATGTTCTTTTAGTCATTATTGAAAACTCTAAAGATAAACAGACCCACACTTTTTTCAATTAATGTTTTATTTTAATCGCTAAATTTCATATTCATAATTATACATTTTCAGGAAAAAACATCCATGTTTTATAGCATTTAAAAATTAAGTGAAGCATTATATTGAGTCCATATTACCCTCAAAGAAACAAAAAGCTATTCGAGTTTTGCAAGCTTGTGCACTCGTTCATGTATTCCTATAATATTGTTTATATCTCACCCAAGCATTTGAATTTTTTTGTATTTGTTGTTGTTGTAATTGTATTGAATGTGTTGACATTCTGTTCAATAAAATCTTCTCTTGCTAATGAAGACAAATAGCCCCTGAAACCACAAAATCATAAAAGTAAAAAAAAACTATGGAAAAATAAAATAAAATCAATGACAAATCAATGAATGAATCAATGAGTATATAAATTGTTAAATGATTATTGTAAATTACTGTGAATGAACTAATGAATGAATGAATGAATGAATGAATGAATGAATGAAACAAAGAAAGTAAAACAACACAAATGTATGTTTTTTCTCTTTAAGCAACACAAAGGTTGCAACTAGAATCCTTAGATTCTTCAACAGTCTATGATTTCTGGATAAGGATCTGTTTAAATTTATTTGAGATTATATTTCAATTCTTTAGAATGTCAGATAACCAAGTTTTGAAATTAATAGATTTGAAAAAATTTGACTTTTTTAGTTTTAAAGCATATAATAGCTACGATCCTGGAAAAAAATAGAAAAGTAATTTATTTGCTCTTGCATATTATTTCTCCTACGTATTGTTTACTTATTTTGATCATTTAAAAATATTTCAGCAATATATTTTGTCTTTGTGATTATTGTCCAAGTTGTAGGCTATTTCTTCTACCCACTGGCAGACAGGTTCTGGTGTGATTGATCTTCCTCCGTTGCTCCCTGTGAGTACCAGTCTTTTTGCTTGCTGTTCAGTTTTTGCATTTTTACTCCTTAATTGTTGTCTAAGTATAGGCTAATACTTTCGTAATGTCTCATTGTCTGATCAGGTGCACTTAAACACTAATCTCTTGCTGCACAGTTGTCTGACAAATGTGCTCCTTCCTCATGATGTACTCAGTTTTAACTTTCCGTTGTGTTGTTAATTTATGTTTCCTTTTTAAATGTCGTTTTGTTATGCACTACTGGTCCACCATATAGCACAATTTTTCATTAGGAAATACGTACCTCTGGACAACGTTTCGTCACAGAAGCGTTTCTATGTTATGTAAGCAATCGTGCCATGTGACGTATGACGTAATGTTCTCGTGACGTTAGATACTAGGCGCACCGAGCGCGTTCTTGCCCATTCTCGTTGTTCAGGTTGCTATGGATCTGTAATGTTGTCTTTAAGCGATTTCATTGTTTTAATAACCAGTATAACGACAACACAAAAACAAAGTTATTTTCTCTTTGTAGCGTTGTTTGTTTACTTGATAATGTTAATCTAATTTGTTTTACATAAAGTTCTGTCCTTCGTGAAATGTATGATATCAAGAGGTTTGTGTTAGGATATCGAGGATTGGTGTTTAATAAATATCACTTCTGTATAAAACACTGCGTCTATGATTTGTCCCAATTAAAAAATCAGTGTGTGTGTGTGTGTGTGTGTGTGTGTGAGAGAGAGAGAGAGAGAGAGCGATTGCATGAAAGAAAAAAAGATGCATAAAGGGAGATAATACGACTAAGATAGTTAGAAAAATAACAGCATAAAACAGCTATAAAAAGCGTTGTGAAACAAGCGCTAAAAAGCAAGTTTCGGTTATGACTTTGTCACGTGCTTTTTATATGATAGCCTAGCAACAGCAGCCAACTCGGTTTAAAACATAGGCTAGATCAATAATGCACAATCTTTGGGACGTTCCTGTTATAGTCAAGAATGTGTGCTCTTAAACATTAATTAATATTAATACTATATTAATTAACATCATTAATAAACATCCCGCTTTCGTTTTGTAGCTTACTTCTTTGATAATGTATTGTTAGCGAATTATTCTTAATTATTCTCTTATTATATAAGATAATTCTCTATTGTTATTATTATTATTATTTTATTAAACACTTGCTTAGGAAATACAAAAGTGAAAAAACATGCGCCACAGAAAAGAGCCAGGGGTTCAAGGATGGCCAAACAATGCATAGCAATTAAAATTCAAAAGAGAGAGAGAGAGAGAGAGAGAGAGAGAGAGAGATTAAAAATAAATAAATGATAAAAATAAATAAATAAGCAGATCACGTAACAATAAATATAACAATCTTTCCTACAAAACATAAATTCATATTATTAAATAAAAATTACACAAAATCACCCAAAAATTTAGCACACATTAAACGTTTTAGTTGCCTTTTTGTTACAGGAGGTAGACATATGTGACCCTGCACCACAAAACCAGTCATAAGGGTACATTTTTTGAAATTGAGATTTATACATCATCTGAAAGCTGAATACAGTAAATAGGATTATGGTTTGATGTATGGTTTGTTAGGACAGGACAATATTTGGCCGAGATACAACTATTTGAAAATCTGGAATCTGAGGGAGCAAAAATGTCAAAATAGGCCTATTGAGTATAACATATTGATATTTACGGTTGGAAATTTACAAAATATCTTCATGGAACATGATCTTTACTTAATATCCTAATGATTTTTGGCTTAAAAGAAAAATCGATAATTTTGACACAATCTATTTTTGGCTATTGCTACAAATAAACCCGTAGTAGTTATGACTGGTTTTGAGGTCGAGGGTCACGTTATAATTCTCTATTATAGATCAGTGACAAGTGAAACCATGACGCCAGGACAGGCGGAGTTTAAGATAAATAAAAATGGAGGTGTGGACTGACATCTCAAAGTTCATCAGGTGTGATCGGGACAGGATCTCTGCTGTTGATCTCAGACCGCTTCCCCGACATACAACAGAGGACATCATCTCAAAGTTCATCAGGTGTGATTCAGGGGTTTACAGAGGATTTACCTGTTACCAACGGCCGTGGACCGTGATATGAACCTGGAAGTGTTGTGCCTGTCTCTCCTTCTTTTTGAAACCTCCTGTTTCAGTGAGTATTTCTGATAAATTATTCAAACTATAATAAAATCTTAAAATAATCTTTAAGGAGCCGCTCAAAAAAGTCCAAATTATTCAGCCAATATTTACAGAGTTGTTATATTCATAGAGGTGAAACTATACGAACGATTACAATATTAATCTGATATTATGATCTATTATAAGACTCCAAAACAGAGCTAAACAAACATCAGGCTTCTCAAAATAACATAATGAAGTAGTCAAGTGGCTCAGCATGCCACAGCTTAGGGATAACTTTAACTTTTCTTTTTTTTTTTTTCAAAAGATATCCATACTTACACGTAGCCTATGCACTGTGCACGTGATGTGAATTTTGTTCAGTACTGAATGTTGTAACGTTAGGTGGAAATAAAATAAGTCTTAAGAGGAAAGGCTGTAATATGTTAACACTGAAACGGAAAAAAACTGCTTATAAGTCTTTTGATTAAATTCTGATTGTAACTTAGGCGCGCTTTCTCTGAACAATAACAGAAGCAAACACTTCTGTTACAGCACAGATACTGTGTTCTGCCTTTATAGGGTAGCATAACCACAATGTTTTATATTCAAAGCAGTTTAAAAGGGATACCCTTAGATACATAGGCTACAAGGTACATATTTGTGCCTTATTTGCCTCAAATGGTACATTAATACCTTAAAGGTACTTATTAGTACTTTAAAAATAAATTTGAAGTTTTAGTACATTTTAAAAGGTTACCACCCCAGTGACAGTTTTGTTTTTCTTTCCCAAGAGTAAACAGAAAAGGGTTTTAAAAAACGGAATTAAAATGATCATAATATGATCACAAACTTATGTTGAGTTTCAGTAGAATTTAAAATTCTTTAACTTACTGAAATGCTTAGAGACATATTAGAACTAACAGATCTTTTACTGGACTGATATACTGGAACATACACTGTTCCTCATAAAGGTTTATAAAATTATATAAACACTGAAATAATAATCTCATCAACCAAGTAATGAATGATTATGGTAATCAAATGTTCATGTTTTTCTTTCCTTCACTTTCCAGCTGAGTTTGAGATTACTGTTCCCAGAGACACTGTCACTGGGTTTTACGGTGAGGCGCTGATCCTCCCCTGCACATTCCCTGTGGGCAGCTCATGGGATCTGAGAAGCACCGTTATCACCTGGCAGCGTGGACTGGATGTTGTTCACAGCTTCTACTACAGTCAGGACCAGCTCGACCGCCAGAATCTGCATTTTGTCAACCGCACCAGTCTGTTCATTCAGAAGATGGCAGGAGGAAACGCATCACTCAAACTGGACGAAGTCACTCTTCAGGACGCCGGTGTGTACACCTGCTCCGTCAGCACAAACACTGGCAGCCAGAAGAAGAGCTTTGGAGTGAAAATTGCAGGTAACAAAGCAACATGGACCGATGTTATTAGAAAATCATGTAAATCAATTTCAAGGTCTCAGAATATGATTGAATTGCCCTTGGTTTTAATGCCTTTTTTCTGTTGTGTTTTACAGCTTTCTACTCTGAACCTCGTCTGCAGTTCTCATTGTTAACTGATGGAGTGGATCTTCTGGTGACCTCAGATGGGGGTTACCCTTCTCCTACACTGCAGTGGCTGATGGAGAACTCAGACATCACTAACCAGACACAAACACACATCACGCAGGACACACAGACAGGACTTTATGTTGTTTCTAGTTGGATAAATCTCACCGACGTGTCAAATTCCTCTTTGACGTTCATACTGCACAACAATCCCCTGGGACAAGACATCAGGAGAGAGATCCAGCTCTACTCAGGTAAGGACTTTCAAAAACAGAAGTCATTTTTAAATGCTCTTGAATCATCAATAAAATGTAAGTGTTTAACTGATTTTTAGTTTATTTTAATTCAATTTCTTTGTACAGATAAGAGTGAGAGGCAAGGAGAGTCAGCATACAGATGTAATGGGTGCTTCATATATATCCCAGTTATTCTGCTGCTGATCGTGATGAGTGTATCGTTTGTGTTCATTACAAGAAGAAGAAGAAGAAGAAGAGAACAGACAAAACAAAATGGCTTTACAGAAATGAAATCCAGATTCTTAATGGAAAAAGTTTAATACGTCCATAATGGTTATGTTACAAAACCACTTCAACTAACAGTTATCCTATTCATGAAATTTATGAAACATGTTCTGTGATTTGCAAGACCGACAACAGCATTATATATATTTTTTATATTATTTACAGTTAAATACACTATATACATATATATATATATATGATGAATGATGAAAGGTTTTGATCCACTTCAAATGTTGACTATATATATATATATATATATATTTTATGTTATTTCCTAACCTTGGCAGCTTTTAACAAATAGTATTTAGTTTATTAGTTACATGCCCTGATCCTTTACATTACTGTATGTAACATTTCAAACAATCATTCTAGTGCTCTATAAAACAGATAATTGTAGTGTCTCTCCCACCTGAACTAACCAGAGGCCAGTTGCATGAATATAGCCATGTAATGACTGTCTTAAAAACTAGGTTGACCAACTACCAGTTAGCCAAAGGGTAACCAGTCTTTTTCAATTCAAATTAGAGCAGTATACCGTATACCTTTTTGACTGATTTAAAAAAAGTTATAACCAATCTAGAATTTAAAAAAAATTACTTTATATATAAAATTATAAACTTTTTAAGACTAGTCTGAACAGTTTATGCAACTGGCCCCTGGATTTTTTTGGTGCTAAAGTCTTAACAAACCCAGAATTTTGTCACTTATAACATGTTATGTGCAACATTGTTAATTTTCTACTGTGCAATATTCAATATTGAGATAATTTATTTTACTTTTACCTGATGGCAGAGTGACATTGCAGTAAATTAACAATGTTTGCTAAACTGTTTATTGTCAAAAATGGAATTTTACAAAATCATTTTTTAGTCTGGTTTTTAAAACTGTAAACTGTATTGCGATTTCAATCAGTATGGACTGTGTAAAACCACTAATGATATTAGTGATTTTAATATTCCAAATGTTCTATTCAGAATGGTCATACTTGCATCTGTAATAGGTGTATCTTATTACATTAAGAAAACACTGCAGAAAAATAAAATACATACTTGCAAAGTATCTCACTCGTGTTGTTTCACAGATCATGACTGTACATGTACGTCTAGCTTTTTTCTTTTAAAAAATCATGTCAGTTAGTGCGAACGGAAACCAAATAATCAGGTGGAATTGTGGCAGAAATAATGGCAGTACACACAATCACTTCATTCAAATTCACAACCATTACAGTGCCGTGGAGATTATCGCACACATGAAAACATGAAAAGGCCAGTGGGAGTGAGGAACACAAAAAGTCTTTTTATATCCCCAACTGACGTGATGTGAATAGGCGTTGCATTGAATGACAAAAGTTAGCCTGATTTTACCCAAAGGTCTTAATTTTATTGTACAGACAGACAGCAAGACCAAACATGTGCCCATGAAGACCCATAATGACATTAGATATGAACAGCTTCTCCTAAAGATTACAATTAACAGGATGTTCTGATTCAAGTTAAAAAAGGCTTTGTTTAAACAAAAAATAAAAAAGGCATTACCATGGAAACCATGTAACAAAAGTAATTTAATATCTCTCAATACATGGATTATCAATCAAGAAAAGGATTTCCTGCAATTCCAGTTAATTATTAAGCATTGCATGACTCTCTCTTTGGTTTATTTGTAAAAAAAAAAAAAAAAAAAGTTATTTTGCATTAAATTCCATCTGAAAAATAATAATCATCTGAGTCATGTGCAAGGTCTAGTTTTCTTACAACACCCTGCTCTATCAACTCATCAGATCCAAGTGGAAACTCTGGTTTCTCCTCAAATGGTGAAATTAACGGGTAAACCAATCCTTCCTTTTTATTTTCAGAAGAATTCTTTTCCTCGGAGATGAATGATGGCAGAAACACCTCATCCAGTTGCCTGTCTCCCATTATTGATTCATCCATATCAAGATGTTCCTCCATGGTTTCATTGACCATAACTGAAGTCTCTGTGGAACCTTTGTCCTCCTGAAGAACTTTTTCCACTCTCTGACCTTTCTTCGGTGAGTAATTTGAACCCTTTGTCATGTTCTGCATTTTTCTGTCTCCAGACCAATCCAAGGATGCAACGTCAAGCTGCTTCATAGGGTCTAAATCTGGCCTTTCAGATCCTACAATACTCTTACTGATTGCCATAAAAATCTCCACATCCCCATGTTTCTCTTCCTCCATCTCTTTCCTGTCCTCCTCTATGAACTCCACTGTGCTGGTGTTAGATGTGTGCTGTCTGTTATCATGGTCCTCCTCAGAAGATATCAGGGTAACAGAGGCAGCAAAGTCCTTGTGGGTGTAGGACCTCTGGGGCTCTTTGGCCAGTTTGGCTTCAAACCAAATAACATCATCATTTCTATGAGCCATGGAAATGGATTCCAGAGTTGAGGAAGGCAAAGTTGAGAAAGGAGAAGTCACAGGATCAGAGAAGAGTACTTGATCACTGCTTACAAACCCTGATGCACAGAAAAAGAGAGCAGAGGTCAAGACCTTCATTTTCTCCATGAACTTTATTATGCAGCTGAGATAGAGCTGTTGTTTCCTGTGAACTAATTCACCATTTTAACCTAAAACCTAACATTTTACTAAATACTAATCCATGTTTTAAAGCTACAACCTTACACCTATAAATATATAGGAAATGCTGAATAATTTGAGACCAAAATAATACAGTTAATGAAGGAAAAAGAAAAGATCAGCCCATGACATACCCAAAAATAAATAATATTACAAGATATTACTATTTCACTGATGTTTGTGCACTAATGACCAAATCTACTTATTTAAACTGCTAAAAATCCTTTTCAGTAATTAATATAAAGCTGAATTAAAACAAAAATGTTAGTCAGAAAAGCGCAAACTTAGTTAGAATAGAAATATAAAAAACACTGATAAAATGACAAATGCACATAAAATTACTAAAAATAAACGGAAAATATAAAAATTAAAATTTATCTAAAGCATTAAAAGTAAGTTAAAAAGTTTTACATTTAAAAAGTATTATATAATAAAAAAAAAACATTGTGTTTGGCACTTGTATTTGTATTTATTTTGCCTTGTAATATATATTCTTCAACATTTCTTCTGTGGATATCATGTGCAGGTTTTTTGTCTTTTCTTTAATTTGACTTTTTTTTTAGCCGATACACCAAATTAACATGGATATACACAGGTTTTTTTGGTGCAGTCATTTGATAAGGTCTTTTTTGACCAGCATAGTAAGAAATAAAGTGATGATCCAATATTGCAAAGGTGTGACTACTACTACTGGATTTATGTTTGATGATTTACTTGCCTTCATGTGTTATTCGTTTGGTTTTGGTCTGGTTGCAGACTGAATCACAGCAGTCACAGATAGAATCTTGACCAAACACAGAGATCCATCTAACAAATGAAAAGTTTTAGTAGAACAATTGTGGTAAAAGAGGTTTTGTTTATGATAGAAAAAAGTTATTCATGATCTTTACAACACTCAGCGACAGATGTTTAGTCTTGTTAACCTTTTATCGGTGTGGCCGTAAAAACAAGACTTCTGCATTGGACTAGGTCCACCACCAGAAACAGAGAGCTCACAATGGAGTGCGATCTACAATAAATCACACAGAGAACTTAATGAATCACACAAAGAATGAATGCAACACAATGCACAGTACAGCACAGTTTTGTCTTCATAAATATGTCAACCGTGAGAAAAGAATCAACACAAACACACCTGGGCATCTGGAGCCTCAATGAACTGGAAAGCACCAAAGGAGAACTGAACAACATTGTCTGCCCTGGAGAACCTGAATCTGGAAGCACCTGGATTTATCCGGCTTTCCCGTAAACACCTGGATGTGTGTGAGACAGTGTTTTGTGTCTGATAAATGTTCCACAAAGTCAGTGTTTTGCTCCACTCACCCATAATTGTCTATGATGCTGTGTTTGGATGCTTGACTCAAAGTGTTGACTGTAGCTGCATAACAGCTGTTGATAAAAAGCTTGACCCCTTGGTAATGATGACGTGTGGAGACCTGCACATTCACCTGCTGACCCAGCAGGTACACAGCAGACCTGACTGGAGAAGACCAGGAGTCTACAGTATAGATACATGAGACCATCAGCATCCTTTTACAGTGCTCGGTTTACAGATTAAATCAGGGTTAGGTCAAAAACATATTTGAAAGTGTGGGAATGTATAAAAAGCTTCTGGGCAAGTTACAACATGCATTGTAATGGCACAGTCTTTGGAATGCAACTCTTCTAATCTCCTCTGTTGCCTGCTTACAGTGCATTACATAAGGGATACCCCCTGCTTATATATTAGAGTTGATCCATGAAGTGCCTGCCTGTTATTGCAACTGCTTGCCTTTTTAACCTAACGCAACTGACAACACAATTCAAATATTGGCTTTGTTTAGTAAAGTTCATATTCATATGCATATTCATAAACATTAAAGAGCAGGTCATATGGGTTTTTGAAAAATATCTCTTTTGCAGTTTATAACGTAGCTATCCTTAAATGAAAACAATCTGCAAAGTTAATCAAAAAGTGCATGATAAATAAAGATATTGTCTCTCAAAAGAGAGAGTCAATTCTGAATCGCCTTAACGAGTCGTCATATTTTCGAATCTTTTGCCTGTTACCGGTAAAGTGTTTTTGTATTTTATGCCATTATTTTAAGAACGGATTGGAGCATTATATTATTGTTTTATGTAAAGGTGCTTTGTCAATGGTAGCGCTCGCGATGCTAACTTGCTCAAGGACTCCTCTCTGTGCCAATATCAACAGGCTTGGCCAGCTGACCAATCAGAGCAGAGTAGGCTTATGGAAGGGAGGGGTTTGCGCCGAACTTGCTTGGAACGAATAGTTTCGAAATCATTGGCAAATGACTCTAATATTAAATGTATATTCTGAGAAAATGACAATGTTTTTTGACCTTAGATGCATTTAAACCTGTTGTAGGGGACTCAAACACAATATTAGGACACTTTAAAATACCATATGACCTGCTCTTTAAACTATTCTATATGGTTTTAAAACTTTTTATATAATTATACAATGATATAACTGGCAAGAAATCTCTGTAGAAATCTCTGTTGTGTTGAAGATATGTGATGCTTATCTGTCAAGTGCAGACTGGAAAATGTGTGATATAAGACTGTTATTGCATAATGATAATGTTTTCCTTTCTATAATATGGTGTATTTGTTCATTAAATACAGCTTGCCGTGTGACCCGTGATCTTACCGTCCATCAGCTGGATCCAAAAGTCACCAGATCTGCTCCTGATAAGTTTGCGCAATAGGGTCCGAGATGTGGGACTCACCACCAGACTGTGCACATGATGCTCCCTAAATAATAAACAAAACAGTGTTGTTCCTCATCCTGAACTGTAAACACACAATTAGCTAGGATCTTACCTCTTACATAACATAATAATTTTGTGATTGTACCTTGGTCAACACATTTTGTGACAAATCAATTTGTGCTAAAAGATTGAACAACTATTTTACTATTGCAATGCTGCAGAAAATGATGTCAAACCCCAGAAGACTAAATTCGCCATAGGTTCCCTGGGGATTTTATGAATTTTTGTTATTGTATTTTCATGAGTAAAATAAAGTCTGTGGTATACATAATTTATACTTGTATGTTTTGTTGGACAACATAAACTGCACACATTCACATCCCAAACATTTTTAATGTAGTTTTTACCAGAGCTGGGTAGATTGCTTACAAATTGTAGTCTGTTACTGATTCCAAATTACATTACAATAATTGTAGTTAGTAATGTAATTCATTACATTACACATTTTAGGTAATATAATCAAGACTACTTTTTGGAGCTTGTAAATTAACTGCAGGGGGTTTAGAGTTTAATGAAAAGCTAATAATTAATTAAATCATAAAAAGGTACAATTTAATTAAGTAATTTTAAAACAACATCAATCAAAATAAAACACTTACTAAAATAATACATTATTTTAATTTGTTTACCTGCATATCATGTGACCATTAACCAACGTCAGACAACCGTGACCATACACGTGACACTTAATTATTCAAATAATTTGTTTTATTGAATTGCATTTTAATGTGTTTAAAAGACAAAAGCTTTTCAAATCTATAGTAATACAAGGTTAAATAACCTAGTGAGTGATAATTCAAATAAAAATGTGTTCATCAGTAGTTGATGCAATGTTGAAACACTTCTAAACCTGAAATTACTTTTGTAATTTTGAACACAGAGCCGTAGTTCACTGACAAGCTACACAAAATCGCGTTCAAAACCGCAGGCGATTCATTGCCGATTTTGAACGTGATTTTGTGTAGCTTGACGTGAACTACGGCTCTGTGTAGTAAATGCCGCTCCATCTCAAAGCACGTGCTGGAGATTTACTACCAATCACAGGAGCGGCTTTACTGACGAGATACGCATGAAAATCGCATTCGATTTTTTGCACAGCCCAATTTAAAAGATTAAAAAGAGGTGATTTGATAAATTTGGAATCATTTATTGCTGTCGTGTGAATAATATGTAATCATGTAGGCTAATGAGTAAAAAAAAGTAACTGTCGTCTGATGACAAGTATTTTAAAGGGGTCATATGATGCGATTTCAATTTTTCTTTTCTCTTTGGAGTGTAACAAAAATGTTCACGCAAAGAGAGAAGGCGTAACTTTTATTCTCGCTGTTGTGTCTAATTTTTGGTTGATTGTAATCTATTACATACCTTTCTATCAAAGTTATGTGACATTATCAAGCTGAATTTGTTCTGACACAGTTTACCTCTGAGTTCTTGTCATATTTTATTACCATTTTCTAAACTATAATGAATAAACTGTGATAATGTGAGAAATGTTGAAGGTGTCTGAATATATTTTGGTTTGACTGTATCTATTTGATAAATGAAGTTAACCAACTAACATTATACATACTCTTTTGGTTTCTGTACCCAATATTTTAAAAATGTACAAATGCAATGAAAATATTGGTATCGGTACTCGGTATCGGCAAGTACCAAAAATAAAAGTATCGGTATCGGGCGAGTACTGGAAAAAGTGGTATCGGTGCATCCCTACGCCTAACAGTACATTGACTGAACTGCTAAAAGAGAACCATGATGGGATGTGCACGAGCAGAGCAGCTGGACGGAGTCGCATCCTGCTAGGAGACGGCATCACAGTATTAAGGGGCGTAACATTTCCGTCACACGCTTGAGGTATCCGGCCAATCACAACGCACTGGATAGCTGGCCAATCAGAGCACACCTCGCTTTTTTAGAACGATGAACTTTGTAAAAATCGACGCGTTTCAGAAAGGCGGGGCATAGAGGAGAAACAATAATGTACATTATATGGAAAATAATGTTTTTTTTTTACCTTAAACCGCATAAACACATTGCATTACACCAAATACACAACATAATGTTCTTTTTAGCAACGTCATATGACCCCTTTAATATGTAATTGAATCTTGTTACAAGTAGGCCTACTTAATTTTTGGAATTTGATTACGTAGGCCTAATCCAGATTGCATGTAAACAGTTACTACCCAGGAAGATCTTATTCTCATTCAGAACCGGTTGAATTACCTTTTATAGCGACACTCCACGCCCACGTTGACTCGGTGATAACGAAGTGAGTTTCGGTGTGATAGACACACGTAATGCAGGACATATTTGTAGGCAACGTAATCAGGAAACACCTTTCAGTTGGAATTGAGTCGTGTCATTATTTGGCAATGACAAATGACAAACTACATTCTTTTGAAATGACGCTGACCTGTTGTTCTCCCTGGCAGTCGGTGAGCCTGTATGTGAAGAGCAGGTCGTTATGCGGCTCAAGGACCCCGTTACTTGTGCAGGTTTCTCCGAGCGTCAGCTCCTCTGCGATGGCTGAGAAACCGTAGAAATTCTTTTTTACCCTTAAAACGAATCCAGAGCGTGAACAGGTCACCGACACATCCGGGAGCCGGCTGTATCTGGGCAGGTAATCCTCGCCAGGTGGGACTCTCGCAGGTGTTCGGCCACGGATCCGCAGGACAGGCCTCTGGAGCGTCAGGTCTGGCGTGTTTGTGAACGGATCGCGCACTAGAAGTTTCCCAGAGTGTTTCTCGCGAGCTGTT